TCCAACTCAATTTTCATAAAAGAAGAGAAAATGAGAAAGAATGAACATCAGCTTCAACAACACTCCGAAAATATCGTGAAAGATTTTTATCAGTGTTTGCTTTAGGTTACTCCCTCCTTTTAAAGAGAAAGAGACAAAAAGGATTAAAAATAATCACCATGATAAAGTGGGAGTGATATTAAAGAAAATACTTGAGTTGAACTGTGTACACTAGGATGATGTGTAGTATGTAGATAGATAGATAGATAGATAGATAGATAGATAGATAGATAGATAGATAGATAGATAGATAGATAGATAGATAGATAGATAGATAGATAGATAGATAGATAGATAGATAGATAGATAGATAGATAGATAGATAGATAGATAGATAGATAGATAGATAGATAGATAGAGATATACAGATATACAGATATATAGATATATATGCATATTGTTATTATTATTATTATTATTTTATATCCCCATAAAACTTTATAATCTATATGATCATATTATTGAATGTATCTTGAAGTTCTCCTTTGAGCTCACATGCTGGGATTGCAGAGTATGGTACTTTATTTGATTGTGAAGGCCATGGTATGAGAGGGGGCACATTCTCTTGACTGAAATATTAACCCCCTCCCCCACTGGCATGGTCCCCTTCAATGATAAATACTAAGGAAGAAGCAGACTATTATAATTATCCTACTGAGAAGCCTGCATTCATTTTCAGGTCACGGTGCTTCTACAGCAGATGCAAGAACGATTCCAGACCATGTCGGACCAAATCATTACGAGAAATATCCTTTTACGCTCTGGTTTTACCGAGGCCTTTTGGCAAGGAAAAGTTATCTTGATTTTTCTCTCTATTCCTCTCCATTTCTTTCTTTTATTTTGTATGTTGTTTCCATCTTTCTTCCCTTCTTTCATATTTTTTCATCATTCCATCTTTATCTAATTTTTTGTGTTTTTCTTTTTCTATTTTATTGATTTTTGTCTGTTTCTCTTTCTTATTTCCCTTTTTCTTTCTTTCTTTTCATCTTTCTTTTTTTGTTCTCTTCTGTTTTTCTCATTCTTAATTTCATTTTATTGTCACATTCATTTATATTCTTTTTATGTTTATTTTTTGTTCTTTCTTCTTTTCTTGTCTTCTTTTTCTCATTCTTTACCTTCATTCAATTTCACATTTATTTTCTTTCTTGCTATCTTTTTCTCATTCTGTTTCCTTTCTTTATATTGTAGTGATTGTTATTTTTTCTGGATTTCTCTTAGTTTTTAGTAATCTTCCTTTGTTTCTCTTTCTTCCTGCTTCATTTTCTTATCGCTGTCTAAATCTTCGTCTTTTCCTTCTTTTTTATGTTTTCCTCTTTTCCTTGTACTTTCCTGCTCTTGTGCATCTCAGTTTCCCTCTTCTTTTTTTCTTCTTTTTGTTTATTTTTGTTTTCTATTTGTGTATGTGTGTGTGTGTGTATGTGTGTGTATGTGTGTGTATGTGTGTGTGTGTGTGTGTGTGTGTGTGTGTGTGAGTGTGAGTGTGAGTGTGAGTGTGAGTGTGAGTGTGAGTGTAAGTGTAAGTGTGTGTGTGTGTGTGTGTGTGTGTGTGTGTGTGTGTGTGTGTGTGTGTGTGTGTGTGTGTGTGTGTGTGTGTGTGTGTGAGTGTGTGTGTGTGTGTGTGTGTGTGTGTGTGTGTGTGTGTGTGTGTGTGTGTGTGTGTGTGTGTGTGTGTGTGTGTGTGTGTGTGTGTGTGATATATATAGCAATATATATATTTGCACTTTTTTTTTTTTTTTTGTATGTGTGCGTGTGTGTGTGTACACCTGCATGCCTGTGTCTGTCTGCCTGTGTCTGTCTCTGTATGTTACAAAGATATGTATAGTATATGTATATATGTGAATCAGCCACTTTATTTATCTTAACTGCTGTGTACTAGATGAGATGGGGACACGCATTGATGACCTCGAGAGGAACATTGCCGACCTCATGACGCAAGCTGGCCCAGAGGAACCAGACAAGTGAACCGACGCAGAGATTTAGCAGACAGTTTTCAGTTAATGGAAGAGAGAGCAAGAGAGAGCCTCACTTTACTTAGCACTCGCCACAACTGAGTGGATGTTTAGATGGGCTCGTCCTTAGTATGTACATGGGAAGTTTGAGGAGCTGAAAAAAAAGTATTTGAAAGAATGATTAAATAAAATTAGAAAGCAGAATCCAGAAAAAAAAACGGTGAATGGAAATTTTTCTTGGACCAACTAGTATACGAAAGGGATTTCAGAAGTAACATTTTATTTTAAAGCACATGATGACAAGTGTGCATGCATAGTATAAGACTAACATGTTCACTCAGATGGTTAGCAGTGTTACCAACAAAGTATGAATTGTAACATTATACTAGAATCATGAACTGTGAGAATGTATTAGAAGTATGAAGTGTAATATTATAATAAGATAAAATGAATGTGCAATAACACTGCCATTATTATTGTTTATAAGGTATATATATGTATATATATATATCCAGAAGATAGTTTCTTATCAAATGATTTTCATATTTATACAGCATTGTAGACCAGGCAGACAGGCAACCAGTCTTGTAGATGGAAACATGCATCATGGAATCAGAATATTTTTGTTAATTGTAATTTTTCAGATTGAGTGAGTGAGAATAACGATTTTTCTATAATTAATCCATTGATTGTGCTTTATGTATAAAATTGTTTGAATGTTTTATAGAAATAAAATGGGAGTAGGCTTTGATATATGGTGTTTAAAAAAACTCGATACATCATTAGGCTTAATTGTCTCAGGGTTGATTATTGGTGGATGTTGGCGAAAATCATCTGTTCTTTTGGTATTTTAGACTGGCTAATAACTGTTGGATGAGTAGGTAACTTAATGAAAGTAAAAATTACAGTGATAATGAGATAATTAAAAGTGCACAAATAGACTTTTATGAAGGAGAGATAGTCTTAAAAATCAAGTTAGGGTCAGTTGTACATTCCCAGCTGCTTCTCTTGGTAACAAACCACATTTTAAATATGTAAATCATCTGTGCCAGGGTTTCATCACCCTTTTGTAAATGGCAACATTGAGGTCAAAGATGCACTAAACCAGTTCTTTATTACTTTGAGTAATTTAACGTGTTTGGGGAAGCTTGATGCATCATTCTTGAGCATCCCCTCTCTTTGAAATTACAGACAGTGGTTACTTTTAATCTTTAGATAGTTCAAAAAAGAAGAATCAGAAACTAGAGGGTTCATACTCTGGCCCAAAGAACTTCTGTAAGAGAACTGTTCATTCACCAGTCATTCTTTTAATGACCTGAAGAGGTGTTCTTTAAACACTTGCAATTTGATATTTATTGAACATAAATATACCTTGTAACCCTCTTTTGAGGTAAATCTTTGACTGTAAAAATGAAATATGTTAAAAGCTTAGTGATCAGAAATGTTCAATGTACCAGCAAAGTTGTTGCCTAGATAAAAAAGATGGAATACATAGGTTGTATCCATAAATACATGGAAAGGAAAGGAAGCTTGGCCAAAGATATTTTTAAAATGCATATTTTCTTTGCATTTTATAAGCTATTCTCTATAGTGTGTGCACCCTCCTTTGCAGTTTGCCAAAGAGGATATCCAGACACTGACAGTTATTAATACTTCAACTTCTACCAAATTCCCTGAACCTTCTTATCCTCTAAGAGGATGAATTTCTTAACAGTTCATCACTTAACCAACAGTCCATGTTAAAGATGTAGTTATATTATGTATTGATTGTTCATATCATGGTGATATACATGATTCTGCAACTTGTCCATATCAGTTGGAGTAATTTAGGAAGCATCTCTTTTTAGGTGTTGAGTGTGGACTGAATGAAGACTGTTTGGGAGAAAAAGATGATGTGTCACGGGAAAGGTAGGATTGTGAAAAGTGCTATGGAAAAGAAAGGTAATGGCTCAAAGGTCACGGGACAGTTGCCTTTTTTATCGTCCCAAAACAGAGTTGTATCCACCTTATCATGTTGAATACTGTCATCACCTTGCATGTTTTGTACATGTGTAGGAAATGATTTGTTTTCTATACAGGATCATGTAAAAGTAAGAAAGACTTATACCTTTTGTTATGCTTTTACCTTTCAGAATAGCTTAGACTTTGACTAATGAGAAATCAAGTGAGCCACATAATTTTTATATTGTGCTTTATACTGTATTCCATCACTGCACATCATACATTGGTAAGGGAATCATAACTAGTAGGTTAGATGTTTTAGCACAATATGAATTGCGATTCTCAACTCCTGTGTGTTTGGTTTTATATCTGTATTTGGTTTGCTTGTTGAACAGTGGATATACTACAAAAAGATATATGATTATGTGTCTAACTTTATAATATTTGGAAACTTTTTCAGATGTACTAATGATTCCCCTTTCGTTTTTCTTTTTTTTTGCTGTGACTGATAATACCATGTAGACAAAATATGTTATTCTGTATTTGTGTTGCATATTTCAAATTGTATATGTAGTTTCTATCACAGCAACATTAAAGTTTATTGATGGTTTCCACCATCCCTATACAAAAATATTTGTTTTATATTTCCTCTCAAAGAGTTCCTGGATGTAATCTAAGCATCATATGGCATCAAATTTTAAGGGGTCAATTTTAAAAGGGATCATCTAATAAAGTGCAGCAAGAAAATGAGTGGGTGAATGTGAGAAAAAAAAAAGAGAAAGAAAGGAGGAAATCTGACAGAGAGAAGGAAAGGCAAGAAAGGGAAGGGAAACAAAGAGAAATAAAGGAGCAAGAGAAAGACAACAATATCTGAAAATGGAAACAACGTGAGATAGTTGAAGTTGAGAGAGGAAGAGGCAGTGTGAGGAATGGAGTAATGAAGAAAGAAGAATAAGGAAGCATGGGAGAGATAAAGAGGGAAAAATAATAAGAGAGAGTTTAAGACAGGAAGATGATAAACATAAAGTTTGAAAATAAAGACTAAAGTCAGGAGTGCGACTTTTGGAATTT